GGGGCGGGGCAGAGAGGGGCAGGGCGGGGGCGGGGGCGGGGGCGGAGCGAGGACTTTCTAACCCTCAACAAACAAAACATAGGATAGAATCAATACACGTCCGTTCCCGCGCAGACTCCGGCCGCGCCCCGCACCACATTAAAACAACATCACAGACATCGGACCGAAACGAAATCGGGCGAGAAATTTCCAAAAAAAAACACAAATATATTTTTTGTCAACGTTTTCAACAACAAAGTTCAACAAGAGGGCGCCGGCGGCGACTACGAGCGCGTCAGCGACGGCGGCGGCACCTCGGCCGCCAGCCGCAGCGCCGCACACGCCAGTGGCGGGCCCACGCCGCCCACGCTGCCCACGCCGCCCACTCCGCTCACGTTGCCCACGTTGCCCACATTACTGATGCCGGCCGTTCTGTCTTTTGCAATCCCATCCCCTCCGCCGCCCTCCGTCTGAAAAAAGAAAACAAAAAAATTTAGAAGACAAGTGACATATTAACCGCAGACAAGATTTAACATTCCGTTCCGGATAGTTTTTGTCGCGACAGAATATAATTTCGGCCGCGTTGGCCAACAAGAAAAACGGAGAGAGTCGGCACGGACCTTGGCGAGGATGTGCTTGAAGGTTTCGTAGGTGAGCCAGCAGATGGCGGCGGCGGGCATCTGGTAGAGCACGCGCGCGTGCAGGCCGCGGAAGAAGCCCTTGAGGCCGGAGGTGCGCAGGACGAGGGCGGCGGCCTGCGCCAGCCCGTCCGCCGTCGCCTCCTGCGTGTTGAGCGCCGTCTTGCAGACGTCGAGCGGCGTGGTGGCGGCGGCGGCCAGCGCGCCCGCCAGCCCGCCCGACAGCGCGTGCGCCGCGGGGTCGTACGCGCGCGTCGGGTTCACGCGCGCCTGGCACCACTCGTACGTCACGAAGTGCACCGCCTGCCGCAAACCAGTTCATTACATACCTCTATACAGACCTTCTCCCTGCTCTACGGCAGTCAGAAAGTAAGAAATCTATGCGCTGACTGACCTGGAATGGCACGTTCATGGCGACCTGCGTGCCGTAGGAGCGGTAGAAGGCGCGCAGTCCCTCGGCGCGGTAGATGCGGCGCGCGCACTCCCACACCCCGCGGTACGGCGAGTGCAGCATCTGCAGCCGCTGCTTCACCACTGATACACACGACACGAGAAAGACAGTGAGTGATGCGAGTACGAATGAGTTATGTCCCTTACTGTTTACATAGGGTGCTCTGCAGTAGTCAGTGCTGCAACCCTTCCGACAGACTGGTTAGTTCAACTATTCACGTATATCGTTTGGGCATTACTTTTTCGCTTGCTCTCCGCCGTGAAGCTGTAAATTATTTTTTGTGCTTCATCTGTTTTTTAAATTCCATACAATTGCCATTTGATAGATTTATAAAATTTGGCATCAAGTTGTCTTACGCACAAAGTCGTCAACGTTTTCCTCTTGCGCGTCGTTTCCGAGAAGCTAGCGCGCGTGACGACGTGACCGACCTCTCATCGTTATAAATGGAATCTAAACGTAAATTGTTCCGCAATTTGTGAGCTCGTCCTGACAGCGAGGCAGGCAGTCGGTCACACCGTCACAACTGATCTACCAGAACGGAATCATACATTTAAAATAACAATAGTACCAAAACTTTACTCCGCTGAGTATCTGAAGTTTAACGAATATATGGCTGTGCACACGAACAGATCGATTCTAATTTGACTTGATTCGCTCACGCTCTTTATCCAGCCGGAATGGAATGTGTAGACGCGCGGACGGCCGGTCGTCTACATCCCGCGGTGGACAATTGTCCTGCGACAATTGGAGCACAATGTGCTCTTCTAAGTTCCAGTGGCACTGTCATTGTGTCTGTTACTGCGACACTCACCTTCCGCCGGGTTAGACACTGCGTCGTGCACCAGCGACGCCAGGCAGCCCGACAGACCTGGAATGGTTTACAAACACATCTTAAGCGATAATTATATAATTATTCATTAAAGCGGAGGCGCGGGTACTGACCGTGCGTGATGTGGTCGTGGCGGTGCCTGGTGAGGTGTCCCAGCGTGTGCTTGCTTTGCTCGTAGGTGGCGAAGAAGCAGGCGTGCGCCGGACCTGCGCCCGCCACCACTGCAGACATGCCGCGGATTGGCCTGCAACAACCACACTCACAACTACCTAACTCACAGCTACAAAACAAATTTTCTCTGTCTCTTTGAAAAGGTGTGATGTATGCCAAGACGTCTTTCAATGTTTTATATTAAGTGAAAACACAACATAAGATAAATGGATCAGTCTGCAAGAGAGTTGGGTCAAATGTTCCTATGCATAGCAAACAAAGTAAGCACTTGTAAACATTGAATAATGTGTATCGAGTATCGGCGCGATTGCGGCGGGAAACGAGCGCACCTCGCCTGCGCCTGCGCCTGCGCCTGACCCGGTGAAACTCAACAGGAAAATGACCGCATAGCGGTGCCACAGTGCACAAACTGCAGCTGAACAATTGTCATTTAAGTATATGCTACTATTTATAATATTGTGCTTTCTTATAAAAGTATATTTATTGTTAGAAATAAAAATTAATGAAATGTTTGAATTGAATTGTTTTTATGGGATTTCCAATGAAACATGATAAATAATATGTAGTTTGTACAAAACTATGTTACTTAGTTTCAGGACTTATATTTATTTTACACGCTTTAAGAATAATTTGTGTACAGATCACGTCTCCTTTGATGTCATCTAACATTTAGATGTACGCTAACCGACCTAACACAAATAAAAAAATAGCTATATGAATATAAATATTTATTTCACAATGTTGTATTGTTATCATTTGTATGATGAGTTGGCCTTCACCTCACATAATAAATAAACAGAAAAAAAACCAAAGAACATGGTATGAAGCGGCGTTCAATCCGACGACAAATGCTCGTCATATAGCTAAACTGTGTCGGTTGGCGTGACGACAGCCGGCGATGTGCCGCCATCAAGCCACGACGCTGCGCAATACAGTATGCCTTAGCTTGACAAAAAAAAACAGAAAATTGTACAAAATACAACGTTCCAGCTCTCAAGAAATATTTGGCTACAACGCGCTTCCCTGCTTACTCGCCGACCTACGTTACGAGAGGGAAAGCGAGTCGCGTCGCACACTGGCTCCTCCCTTCCCCCTCGCTCCGCAGACTTGGAGCAAGGTCAAGGTCGGCGACGCGACTCCCGGATGTGCTCTTTGTGAATTTTAGGTTCGCGCATTTTGACGTTTCCTTTAAAATCCTGTGGTGTTTTCACTGTTTTAAAATTCAAGTTCAGTTCTACAGTACAGGATGCGCCTTTTGTTCTAATCTTCCTACTAATATTATAAATGCGAATGTTTAGATGAATGGATGGATGTTTGTTTGAAGGTATCGGCTGAACGGACCTCATTGAAATTTGGCATATATGTAGAGCATAGTCTGGAAGCACACCGGCTACTAATTACGTTTTTTGTCATTCCGCGCGGACGTAGTCACGGGCGACAGCTATAATAGATAAAAATAAACTTTGAGTAAGCCTCCTACTGGAGAGTTGCGGGTAGCGTCTTGCGGTAAACCGCAGCACGTGCGGGGCTCGGGCTGTGCGGGTGTGGTTGCGGGGGCGCGGGTGGGGCGGCAAGCTCTTGTTTAGAATTCCCTCAATATCTATATATTATACATTTGTAGTTCTAGTGGGTCGCTGTGGTCGTCGCTGTGGTCGCCGCGGCGGCAACTAAGCGGCACCGCGACGACTTGCTTTATACATAACGTGCTGAGTCATTGTACCGAGTGACGGCGGCTTGTTTCATCGATTTATTGTCAAATTTACGTCACAAATGTTTTCTATGCTCTAATGGTAAGAAAAACCAAAACATACTTAATCGATGCCATGAATGTGTTATTCAGGTCTATACTAACCGTTCCGTTGTCTATTGATGTGTGTTTGTGGCACATGCCGGGTAACCTTGAGGCTGCACGCGGCTTGCTGCGGGGCGGGGCGGGGCGTGCTGCGGGGCGGGGGGAGTGACACTCCACCCTACCAGCGAGTGGGTAACACTTACGTCTATCAGAGTTGATATCGGAACACTTCGCGTCTTTCTCTATCAGAAAAATAAGGGAACTAGAATTGGACCTCACTCATCGGCCGGAAAACAAAGCTATTCTTCATGCTTTTCCGTTATGAGGTAGTAGTATATCATATTTTGGGGCTCCGCCTACTCAAAAATCCATTGTATTAAAATTAATAGACACACGATTTGCAACGTAATGTAATTGAATTTAAGAAATCAGCAATTGCCGTCGTCCGCTTGCGAAGGTCTCAAGGCGCGGTTGTTACCAGTCAGCGTTACACCGCGATTTACATACAGTTCCGCTTGTGTTGCGTATCTACTCTTTCAAATTTGTTTTAGGATTTATAAAAAAAAATTCTACCCACAGTAATACTAGAAATTTGTTTAAACAGAACATTCAGACGAACCTCCTCTTTTTTTAGGTCGGTTAAAAATGGAATACAATATTTTCGCTCCTTCCCCATTCTGGCAAGAATAAAATGTTATTTTAAATGCCGCAATGATAAACCGCTTCATAATACAATGCATATGACACATGATTCAATCAAATCTGCGGTGAGCTCACGTCCTAACTGGGAGCTGCACCGCACCGCACCGCACCGCACCGCGCAGTTCTAGGCAGTGCAGCGCGCAGGGGGTTTCCCCACGCACACGCACACGCTACATTTATTATTATGGTTATACTAGTTACGTTATGTCATCAATGTATGATAAACTGAGCAATAAAACAAGCGATATTTAACGCCCACCAAAATCTACTATAACAAGATTACAAAAGCATTTTAACTATACACGTATGTACGCAGTGTTTATGTGATAGAATCTGACGACGAGACGGGAGAGAATTATACAATGAACTAGAAGGTGATGCACCGAGCAATGAATGAATGAATGAATGGCAATCAAATGTACCGCCCGCGGGCGGTGAGGGCGGTTAGTGCGGATGTAGTCCGGCCGGCACTCGGTACTGCGACTCTCAACTCGCAAGCAAACCCACGTGCGGATACGTAACAATGTCTCCTTTTTGTAACACATCTCAGAAACGTGTAATCGCCAATTTAGCGCAAGTTGGTAATAAAACAGACGATAGCGACAATGTTTTATTACGAAAAGGCGCAATGTTTGCTCTACTGAGAACTGAGAAGTGAATCTTATCAGTCGCAGAGACGTTCACAATTCGTGCACAATAATTATGTCCGCACGAACGCACGCCTCTCACCGCGTCATGCATTCATTTGTGAAGTGTGTTCTTTGGAACGGAATCAACAACATTAATTAAATAGTAAACTTTCATGTAAATAGAGTAACACGGAAAGGTTGACCTAAACTTCACATAACGAGCACATCTTGTGAACATACATTATTGCTTACAATCTCTTCAATTACCAGTAAACATTAGTCATTTAAATAGACAAATGGAGCGAAATGGTCTGTTCTCTGCAATGCTAGTACATAATATTGAAATACATTTATACCGGAGAAGCATTTTCCTTATGTTCCTTGCATTTAATATAAATACTCGCTATGCCAATATGTAATGAGTAAAATCAATAATGCAATCAAGTGTAATCAGCAAAGCGTAATCTCTCTAGACAATCAAGTTGTCAGTACAAATAACAGACGGCAGCCGGTAAACGGTTGCGTAAGGATGTGTACGGAGCAAACACATCGTCACGTGCCACGCGGCGGCTACTGTGCTAAACTTCTCATAGGCCAGCGCCCACTCCGGCGCGGCTGGCTCGCACCGGCCAGTCCCAACAGCCAGTTTCAGCTCAGTCATAAGTCACATATACGGGAAAGGCATATTTGAAGATATTTCTCGGTTTGTGTGTGAGTGTGTGTGTGTTTAAGTAGATAAGATGAAGCAATGTGGTAAAATCAATGACATTGTAAGTAGATTAAAGTTAATCAAAATGTTTACATCATCACATTGAATCAATGAAAGATGAAGTGTATGGGCAGAGATGACGACCACGACATTTTGTTTGAATAGAAATCGTTTCGGATCTTCACTTCGTCAAGCGGGAGGATGTCGTCTCACTTGCTGCATAATCTCGTACTTCTTGCAGTAATTATACTATTATGATTATCAGCGAGGCGAGGCGGCAGGCGAGAGGCGGCAGGCGGCAGGCGACATGGCGCGCCGTGACAATTGCTGATAGTGTAACCGCATTCTGTTACATTACATGTATCGAATTAGTTAGTTGTTAAATTATATGTAAATTTGAATATTTTTAACTATATTAATTATACAGCACCTTATCTATGTACAATAACAACTGATAACTGGTATCCTTACGATTGTCATGTAAAGTGTAAACGACTATTTGCTATTATTTATAAAATATCTTTAGGGGCGTCATCATCGCCGTTGAGGCGGAAGTTCTACGGAAACACGCGAGCTCCAGCTATCACCGCTGCGCCGTGTGCTCGCAGTGTGTCGCTCTCGTTGAAACAATGTTAATATAAATGGAGTTAGCGTAAGTTTGTTTTCTTAAATGCTTTTTTCCATGTGGTAGGCTAAGGGTTCTTTCGTTAGCCGCTGACCTCCGAGCCTGACACTTCGCGGATCCCTCCTGTGGGCGAGGACGCTGACGTCAGCCGTCACAGCCGTCACACGAGTCAGCACTCACAATCGTGGGGAGTCGAGGTGTTGCGGTGACATTAATTATGCATACGCGCGCTGCGGCGACGCTCCACCGCGTTATTTAATACCTAAAGCAGCCGTCAGAAAACATTTCGCATCAATGTTGGAACAAATCGTTTCTTTACAATGAAGAAGCTAGGAATTAATATACGTGAACACACATAATATACGCGGATGTATCGTGTGCACGGAGACACGCCTCGACACGACAAGGCAGCGGGTATACGACAAAATTGTAAACATAAACAGATTTCTACAATTGTTTTAATCACGTTGCTTGTTTTTGTGAAACAAATGTGATGTCCACGTTACCTTGCAATACCAATAAATGCCAAAGGAAAAACCTAAAAATAGAATTTATTCATTACACAAATGAATCTGATATAGAATAAAAAAGTATTATAGTAAATCTTTCAGTATAAAGTATAACTCCAAACACAGCAGGAGCGCCTAGACAAAAAATAAAAAGCGAGAAATTAATATTTAGTTCAGGGTGGCATGTAAGGGTATAAGGGTGTAAGGGAGAAGGGAGGAGGGAGCCGGCGAGAGTGGCGTGCGGCGCGGGTCAAGTTCACCGCCGCTGCTGTGACTGCTGTGTGGTCGTACACAAGGGCAATCGATTCATAACGCGAGCCGCCGCATACGATGCCCTTAGGACACCTCACTGTTTCATTAGCTTTTGACTTTGACCCTCTCCAATAGTCTAAGTGGAGTGTCAGTCGTGGGTTCGATATGTACCTACAAAACCAATTGATTTGCATCAGCGCGGTTTTAACAGTCCTGTGCTCAGTCTTGTGTATACCTACATACATGGCGCAATTACTTTATCAAACTTACAGCAAGATAGCGATCGATAAGAAAAGTTCGCGATGGTCGGGACATTTATAATGTTAATGGTATAGTTAATTAGTATATTTGCTCTTGGAACTGAAACTCTGGCGGTATCTTATGCAACACTGTTGTCTAGTTCAGATTAGTAAATTGTTACATAATTTGAACAATTCTTTAAATCGTAGACAAATCTATTTTCTGTATCATCGCATACGCGCACGTAGTTTGTGCAATAATACGTATAAAAAGAACAAGTTGTTGCAAATTTAAGTTATAATAATAATTTCAATAAATTTTGTGGTAGGTCAGCCACTTATGCATGCAAAGGTGCCAACAAATTTTTATATATTACAGAAATATATCAAGATTTCAAGTGGCTACGGACGTGGCAGGAGAACTGTATACCGCTGGACACAAGACAAGAACGTGGGGAGACGACGCCTCCGTCCGAAAGTGCAAAACACGTTGGTGGAGCTTCAAATATGATGTTTTTAATAATTAAAATAAATAATCTTAAAATTTGATGTAAAAGTTGCATATGTGCCGAGCGGCGGATGCACGGTGTGATAACACGCTGACCTGCGGACAATTCGCGGCAGCTCAATTGTGTTATCATTCAGTTGGCGACTCTTCCGCAGCCTCACGTACGCTGATAAGGCGATAGCGGCCGATAGCGCCGTGGCCGCGCCTGCGCCCGCGCCGCCGCCGCTGCACGCCTCGAGGAAGTCATCGTGACAAAGTAATTAAAAATCATTTCGCAATGTAAGAACAAGGGTTGATCGCGGATCGCGTATCGCGGCACACACTGTATTTAGTGATCACCACTACCTATAAAAGTTGCTGAAGGAAATGTGGGGAAAGGAAAGTGTAGTTAGTAAGTGTAGGAATGGGAGTTGAAAGATTTAATAAACCGACTATGCCATAAAACCGCTAGATATGTCAATACTTCCACACCATTACCACATTGCTCCAGGTGAGGCCGAGCTCGCGGCTCAAGGTTATCGGAGGTGCTACAAAAGATTACGGCGAGTAATCTTTGCACCGATAGTCTTGTATAGCGAAGTTATCAAGAAAACTGTGTCAAATTAACGAACAAATTATATTTCCGGATTTTGGATTTGATGCTATCAATTTGTAATTACATAGTTTCATTTGAACTGAGAAGCGATCGATAGCGGTATCGCAGTTCAGTAGAGGCTATGCTTCTCTGTGGCTGGGGAAGGGCTCGCTGCGGCAACAGCCAACGAGAGGCAATCCCTAACTGCTGTCCTAATAGTAAAAAGATTAGGAAAATTAAACAGGATATTGTCTATCGATGGCCACTCATTGGGCGGAAGCATAGACACGTCCGCGGCGCCACACGCTGCAGCAACACAGTGGGACGCAGTTGGTGTACACAAACACAGTGTAACGAGGCGCAGTATGTTTGTGATGAGCTTCCGGCAGACGAGTGCTGTAGTTGCCTTCCGCCTTATGCTTGCAATGATAACTGAACGAAGTCAAATCATGGTGTTACAAAGCGACCCATGCGGCATCGCTACTGTTATCCAAAATTACGCATATATTTTCCTAATCACTATCTCTATATGAAGTTGTGGGTGTGTATGTGTGTGTGGCATGTGTGGTGTGATATGTTACCTGAGCAGGCCCTCGCGCTGCACCATGTAGCGCAGCGTCTCGCGGATACTGCCGTTGTGCGCCGACCGCAGCGACTGCATGCGCGTCTGCAACAACAACAACAACAACACGGTCAACAACGGTACAACAGCCGGCAGCGATGGCATCCTCTAGGACTTACTCATGCTCTAAATCCCTATTGTACAAACTCGCCGATTGTAATGCCTGTTTCTTTCCTTTTACCATCTCCATTGTCACCTATATTCCCCACCCAATTCCCCCTTTATCTTAAACTGTATTCTGACGTGAAATTATAATGGTAGGTAGGTACAGTGCTTTAGAATGAGGCAAACAATAAAATTTGCATGTTATTTTGTGCATCGTATGGGAGAGCTGACATTTAAAATTTAAATTAACGAGTATTGGTGTCGCGGCGACGAGTTGAATCAAATATTCGATATCGGGGGGCAAGCTTTAAACTCGACCTCAGTGGTAAAAATAGAATTATCTTATCCCAGTTCAGACTTCCTAGTGTTTATGTCGAAAGACTGTGGCTGATGATACGAGCGGCGAGAGGGGAGATACGAGCGGTGCTTGGTCCTCGCCAGCTGCTGGCCACAGTTACGCCGTAAACAATACCGAAAAATTACACGTTTGACAAATATAACAAAGTAAAAACAAGATTGTTTCCGCAACTAACAACTGGTATGCACCTAATAATTTTATTTGCCGGACAATTTGTTGGCGTGACTTCGCCAATAATATAAAAATGACAAACAAAAGACTCTTAATAACAGCCTATCGATGTACAATTTTTTCATCAATTTAACAAAAGACATATAATCAAGGAAGTGTGGTGACATTGAGGTTCGATATATAACTGGCAGAGCGGACCACCGGCCGGTACTCAGAACGGCGTCAAAATGTGTGTCAGGAGGCAACTGCTGCTGTGTACGACGGCCGCGCTGCTGGTGGCAGCGCTCTGCCTGGACGAGGAGATGGCGGAGCTGGCGCGAATGCTGCGCGAGAGCTGCGCCGAGGAGAGCGGCGTCGAGCTGCGCCTAGTGGAGGAAGTGAACGCTGGCGCAGCGCTGCCGCCTGACGCCAAGCTCAAGTGCTACATCAAGTGCGTGATGGAGACGGCAGGCATGATGTCTGCGGGCGCAGTGGACGTGGAGGCAGTAGTGGCCATGTTGCCTGATGACATGCGCGCCAAGACCGAGGGGTCGCTGCGGGCGTGCGGCTCGCGCGCCGGCGCCGACGACTGCGACACCGCGTACAGCACGCAGCTGTGCTGGCAGCAGGCCAACCCGGCCGACTACTTCCTCATATAGCCCGCCCTGAGCCGTGCACCACATTCGCCCCGTAATAACACACAACCAATAGTTTACACATATCAAAATCAAACAGCAACATAAAAATTATAATTAAAGTGCATCTTAGACATTGTGTAATATACTGCTTGCATTAATTACATCTACACAATATGTTATACTTAAATGTGATATATAAATTTTCATAAAATTTATTTCTACTTCCAAGATTACAAGATTTTTTTACATTTTCTAGTAATAACAACTCTCTATACATTTTAAAATCTCATACTCTCTAAGATAAATAACATTTAAGTAATTGGAGTTACGCTGTGATTGTTGATTAAAAAATATTTAATTGAACTAATTGTATGCAGTTAGCAGTAGCAGGGAATACACCATAAAATTCATCAGGATAGTCACATGCGCTTAAGGAAAATCCATAAAGCAATCTTGTAATAAATTATGGCTAAGAATTCTCTAGTTGCCCTACAAATTATTTTTTAATATATATTTCTTGATAAAAAATTAACAATGAATCACCCCTAGATAATGTACTGTCATGCACATCTGTCATATCTATACTGATTTACAGACCCTGTGTTTTTTTTATTAAAAACACAGGGTCTGTAAATATGGAATGTGTGCCGGGTAGATGGCAACCTGGCTTTATCCTGTGTTGCCAAATAAAGTGACAGTATTTTCTCAAGGTTTTCCAAAAACTTGCTTCGAAGGGTCCCAATGCAAACTTTAGATGATACCAGGACCCACTTGGTCAGACTTTAGGATGGTCATCAGGAAGTTCCAGTACTAATCTTATATAAACTTGACTATTCCCCTTAAAGCAGGATATCTTTGAAAAAAAATCCTTCTGTAACCAAAAGGTACATAATATGAGACTCGGCTAGCCCAAAGCAATATTCATATACTTTTCAATCTTTCATCAAATTGAACTTCTCCGATTAAAAAGTCTTGAAAAACATGTAGCTACGAATACCAGAACTTTCACTTGTTAATTTTTACTTTTCATCCGTCTGCTTTACACTGTGTCTGCCGGAGCAAATTGTAAGTAAGTAACAATAAGAAAAACAAACAAATATAACTTTCTTAAAGTTTCTTATTGTTAATATAATTATTTATAACAATGTAATACAACAGATGAACAATTTTTTTAAACAAATATTAAATAAACAAGTACATAGTCCTGTTGTGTCTTGTTACATGTATTACAAAGTATTAACAATGAAAGAAAATAAATATGTTTTCTCTTCTGTTGATGTCATTCCAGTGTTATAATATTAATAATACAAGATTATTATTCTGTTTACTAAAACTTGAAGAATACAAGACCTTGAATAACTATTATTGCAATGTCAGCATTAATAGCATCATTTAGCTAAATTTACATGTAAACAACCAAAATGTTTAGCCATCAAAAAAAATAATTCTAATCCCGTTATAAGGGAACTAAACAAGAAAAAAACAAATTCCAACAAAATTTTAATCTAAACTCAAGTGATAGCCGAATGATTAAGAAATAAACAGCTGTCAATGTTCAAAAAACAGGAGCAGTTTTGCACGACAACTCATGTCAAACCGAAAGTTTATAGGTCTGCGCTCCGGGAAAACAAACGAAAGTCTTATTGGTTTTTACATAACCCCTTAAAGAAAGCTGTGGCGCAACGCGCGAAGCACTAAGATGCGGTCAGGGGCCGTGTAGGTTATGCCGTAAGGCACGGGGTCCGGCTCCCGGGCGCCACTCACCTTGACGGAGTCGAGCGGGTACATTATGCAATGCTCCATCACTCCCGCTATCGCTCCAGCTGTCATATGTGTGACAGAGTTCTGGGTTGGAAGGGTTTCATAGTCCTCAAAGTTCATAATACTCACTTAATACTGACACTAAGCACGAAATAAACACAGAAACGGTTAAATTTATATACGATTTATTTCATTTACCAATTTACCAATGTCATTTTTACTACACTATTTTTGTCACTAAGTCATCGGAAATTTAGAACGAACAATCAAAATTGATTCACTGGTGCGATACGATTAGCACGCGCGGCAGCCGACGACGGAGTTGCCAGTTGTCTCTGTCTGAGAGAACCAACTAAGCTAGTGCTTATCAACTCGCGCTACGTATGTTATCGTCACTTATCATTATCTTATCTACGGGTACACTCTTTTGACTTCAATCATTTTTATACCGTGCGACACAACGCCTAATTACATAATACCTATTTTCTAGTCAAACTTTAGAGGAAGCGAAGAAAAGGGGTACAATTGGTTTTAATGTGTTTTTCTTCGCTATATATAGAAGTATTGATAAACTACTGAAGCTCACGTGATGTGAGCTACCATCGATTTTTTTACTGAAATGAAAAAGTGGAGCATATTCGATCAACTTCAGAACAAAATCTTTCAGTACTATATTTTCCTTGTTCTAAACCTTCCAGTAAATAAATAATTATACGAAGTTACCAACATTGAGTATGCAACACTTTATCAGTCATGTAGCCGTCAAAGATGATACTTCTACAGTATTGCAATGGCAAAAAATACAAGTATAATCTAGAGGAAAAAGTTTTACAATACAAGAAGTAGGTGTTGCCACTGAGCTTTTATTATAAAAAAAGATTATTTTTTTTTCCAAACTTGTAAACTATGTTTTGACTATAATGTTATTACCAAGGATTATTATATACAAGTGGGTCTCTCATTTCTTCGTTATCATATTTTGTACAAGAGTATCCGTTCTGTAACCCTAGCACGAAATATTACGACAATCTTCTTCATAACGTCATCGACAATTATGTCAATATTAGTATCAGATTATTTTACGCAGAGTACTTTACGCCCGATAGAGGCGCTGCACAAATTTTGTCGAAGACGATCGCGAGAGTGATTAATATTTCGGGTGTGTCTAATATTAATATTCGTTATATTTTTCAGATTAAGTTTAATAGCTCTTGCGAAATTTGTTTAAAAGATTATCGATGTATGCAAGGGTTTGCGTGTCGAGAAATAAACGTGCACATAATTGTCAGAAGCGAAAGATAGTGCTATTCAAATAAAACAACAGTAAAAAGTAGTCGGAAATGCAATTTTTTATTACTTCAAAAGCATAGTCTTTACATAAAATCACCGATGAATCGTAATCATTCGCGTCCCGCTGACACAGCGGCGACACTAACGCCACCACCTCACTGTGGCAGCTCCAGGTGCAAGTTCAGATAAGACGTTTACTATAAAGTTGTATATATGTTTATGTCTATATAAAGTGGTATCCTACACCCGCTGCGTGGCCGCCACACACACAGACACACACGCAATGGTAACAACAGAGGCACTTGCAGAGCACATTCACTCACCGACCACTCGCAATGCATCGCTAAAATAATATTAAAAACAATAAGTAGTGAAGTACGGCCGCGCGGCGCGCTGCTAGCTGCTAGCTGCTAGCTGCTAACTGTTACAACACTTCTTTATATTTACTTAATAAATAAACTTCTTTCATTGCCATTCAATCGATCTTAATTAAGAAAGATAAAATCACTGCTTAGGGTAGAGGTGCGCGCGACGCGGCCGCCGGCAAACCTTCATCTACACTATAATATAGTACTCGATTGTAACCCCAACTTACTCTAACGCAATATAATGTTTTCTCTTAAAGTACTCATATATTTGGTTCTCACTAAAGTAAAAATTAACACCGAGCTCACTCACACACACACATCCGCTCCGTAAACCTGACGAGATGTGTATACAGTGTGGTATCAGGCGCGAGGCTGAGTCACTTGTACACAGAAACTATTCCTACTGAGAATACATAAAGTATAGAGGATGATATCCGGGCCGAGGACACCGCGGCGTCGCCGGGGTGTCGCCGGGTGGTAGCCGGCACAACGCCTGCAGCATGACGTCGTCTCATGCAGGCCGACAGTTCTATGAACCGTCCGATACATCTAAATACGAGGAAAAATCACACCGCATCCTTACAGACTAAGTATTATGTGAAGAGTTATCATAATATCGTTCATATATTTATTAAATATAATGTGTATAAAAAGATGCGCCGGCTGCCCCAGCCCCCGCCCCGGCCCCAGCCCCGCCCCCCGGCCCCAGCCCCGCGCCCCCGGCACGCCTGTACATTAGCTGCCTTACAATGAATATCAATATACAATACAATACATACTAACAACCGATTAGCTGCTCTAGTGTAGGAGATTGCCACGAAGCGGGGGCGGGGGCGGGGGCGGAGTCGGGGGCGGGCGCGGGGGCTCTACAACTTGCCTCGAATAAAATTAAAAATATTAACATTCATAGATATAAAATGATGCCGAATAAATAAGTGGACGTACAGACAAGTACGTTTGTTGTAACATAAGCGCTCGCTCGGGATCTTTGCAATACTCATATCTCGCTCTTTTTTACGTCATCGCGATTTTCTTGTAGTTTGTGCACCATTTTGCTTTCTAAATTACACAACTTATTAATTTTTCATGGCAATACATATATTTTAAATGACAGGAGCGATATCTTTACAGCCGACAGCAGACGTGAGCGGAGGAATAAACAGACTGATTAATTTAA